ACTTTTTCAGTACTTTTTTTAGTATATATATATATATTTACATTATATGTATTAATTTTTCATCCTTATAATTATATCCATGATGAAGTAAAAATTGATACTTATTCATTACAATATCAATCATCTCCTTCTGATCTGTTATTGATTTCCAAAAAAGTTATTTATCTTCATTCATAATTGGGTGATAGATTTCTTTAGAACTAAAATCTATATATTTAAAAATCTGATTATGTAATTTGTAAGATATTTTTCCATTATTATGATATATAATAAAAATATATTTAATTTATTTTATTATATCATGTTATAATATATTTTGGGAGTGATATCATGTATTTTATTTTAAAGAAATGACTTTTTGGCATGAGCTGACTAAATACCAAGTCTAAATCTGCAAATTAAAGATTAGTATAGAAGTATTTTGGAGAAATGACACTCTATGTCTCATGAATATGCATAATTACTGATAGAAAGATAGTTAGTTTATTTGCAGAGTAGTGCACTTTATGCTTGATCAAGATTGATAATCTGCAACAATTATCTGAAAAAATTGATTATAATAATAAATATCAAATTGAATTAGTTAGGTCTTTAGATGATATTAATATTTGAAATTAGTAGTCTATGCTTTTACTATTACTATTTGGATTGAATTTTGATAGATCTCATTATATTGCAGATGATAAGTTCTTGTATTGATATAATTATCACTATCCTATCTATCTTCTATATTATCTCTTATATTTTCTTTTTTCAAAATAATCATGATTTTTATTGCTATACTTCGAAGATAAATAAGAGAACTGCTTTAGCACTTTATTAATTTTCACTTCTCTTCTGGATTGTCAGGTAAAATAGAGATAGAAGATCAAGATTTGTTGTCAGAGATAGTTACACAATGGCTAGATGTAAGTATACTTACTTCAGCTTCTGATAATTTTGAGAAAACAGAGTTTTGAGCTGTTAACTCATCTTGATTATTTTCTTGGAAATCTATTGCAGAGCAATAACTCTTTGGGTCTAAAGGAATTGATGAGTTGGAGATTTGAGACTTTGTCTTTTCAGTTAGTATACTTACCTCGGTCATATGAGTGCATGACTTTGGACCACACAGTATAGTAATGAAATGCTTTTTAATTGTATTGATTTGCATGTCAGTTAACTTTGAGAGTTTATTTGCATTATAAGTTTTAATTCACTTAATTTTATCTTCTCCAATTATACTAAATAATTTGTATATAGATTTAGTTCTTTGAGTTCTTTTACGCAAACTTACACGAGAAATACCTGAAAGATACTGTAGCATTTCATTATAAATCTGTTCACTTGCTAAATCATAGGCTCTCTTATCATTTCTTTGGTTTTCGGATAAGATATCATCAAGTCTTTTTTCGAAATGCTTTCTATATTGGTACCAGCTCGTAATTTCTTTCACCTTGGCTTGTTTAGTATTATTTTCTGTCAAGCTTATTTTTTCAAATAGATGGACCAATTCGATTGCGAGCAATTGCTCATCTGTAGAATTTTCATCTATTGCAGAGTAGGCCGTTAGGTGATTCTCCGAATTATGGCTCTTTGAGCCTATATTAACAACTTTAACGGTATCTTCCACTAAAGATTCTATTCTTAATTCTTCTATCAAAGGCTGTATGTCTATTTCAGTGATTTTATTTTCTGTAAGTCTGTATTTTATTCTGAGGATTCTTCAGGTAAATTAGGAGTGTTAGGAATAGATTGCGATTCCGAAATTTGTTTGACGTGTAATTCATCATGAGATTTTGGTGAGCTATCCGAATATGAGTTTTGGGCTTGAGAAGCGGAAGCTTCATTACTCTGTAATAGCTTCTTTTCCCAATTCCTTTCTCTTATTTCGTTACGAATCTGTTCATTACATTTTTCATTCAGAAAATTATCAATCCTTTTATCTTCAGATGATTTAGACTTTACATATATAGGTGGTATAGTTAAAGATGAATCGGAGACTCGAGACTGATATTCGTCAGAATTTGAAACATTATTGGATACATCAGATGCCGGAGCATCCTTATTTTGCAAGACCACCTGTTCAGATGTGTCATCAGAATTTAAAATGTCATCAGTTATATCAGATATCGGGGTATCACCACAATGTAACACTATCTGTTTGAGAGAATCGTTAAAATTTACTGGAGAATGCGAAACATCTTCTGTAGGCTCGAAGAGCCATTGCTCTGCAATAGAAATACTTTTTTCTTCTTTTCCCTGTTCTAATATAGCGAGCCTAGTTTCAAGCTCTATATTCTTTTGCTCTAATTCCTCGACTTTAATATTGCACTTTTCATTCTCCTCGATAATCCGCTTCAGCTTCGCATTCTCCTTTCTAAGCTCAGCAATCTCAGCTATAAGTTTGGAATTCTGTTCTTCTAATGTATCGACTTTGGATTGTGTGTTTGCCATTTTTTATACAAAATGCAGATATGTTCAAAAGTTTGACTAAATAGAAATAATGAGTGCGTGACCAAAAAGTTAAAAAAGTCACGCCGTTTGCTTTTGCCAAGAAAAAATAATAATTACATGGGAGCGATGTCGTGTGTTTTAAATTCGCGAATCAGAAATCATCATATTTACACGAAAATCTTTATTCAACCAGTGATCGACTGATATTTACATTTTAAAATCGCTAAATCTACATAATTATTTTCGCTATATAAGTATCGAATTATACCCCATCAGGTAGTGGATCCTCTGCTTTCAACCCACGTCTGGCACGCGATAAATCTGTAAAGAAGTAGCGATCATAATTAGCGATTTTAACAATGTATGTAACACAATGAAAAGATTAACACAAACGTACTAGCCCACGTTAAATAATTACTTACCAATATTCCCTCGCCTCTTATCACAAGATCTTTCTGGTATCTCGGTTTGACTTTTTTTCGGTTGGGAGAGTGTGATTCGGTTATTCAGATCTCGTGCGTCGTTGAGATCTTGCCGAGGAATCGAAGAAACAAGCGCCCCACGTGCATCTCTTTCAATTCCGGCCTCCAGATCTTCGTATATAGACGAAAAATCTCGCAAATGGTGGAAGAACATACTATGAACGAAATATACAACGCTATGCCGAATCCCTCGAGTTATAGGAAAATTCTCATGGAGGAGAAGTCGTGAGGAAAAAGCAACAATCTGCCCAGAACAAAGCGGAACGATAATCTGGAGTTGGGGGAAGCATAGTTCACCCCCCTCAAAATCACCCAATGCCACCAGACAACACAAAGAATTTGGTTCGTCGTGTTCGTCCCAGTGATAATCGCTTATTGTATTGAAATTAATCGCGATCATCGGGAAGGCTCCGAATGGCTTTGGCCCAAATACCCCCCCCCCCCACGATAACTTTTCTAATTTCCCATATAACTCCCCATAATATTCTCGGACGAATTCATTAATAGAGGTTGACAACGGTTCCAAATCACGAAGTAACGCATCGACACATTCTTGATGCTCGACGTTGTGGGCACTTGCGGTGTTGGAACTTGTGTAAGGTAAGAGGTTATTTCGCGCGTATACACCGAAATGCTCTATAAAATTTTTCCAGAATTCGTCACTCCGATGTGAAGGGTGTTTCAAAGTATGAAAATAATAACGAGTTACTGCGTCAGTGGCTTGCGTCACGGCGGTTTGATCGTTGAGTTGTTCGAGATGGATCATGGTTTGTTCGCTTAGATCTGTAATACATTCCGGTTTTGTAATATAACGAAATTTTATTAACTTATCCAGTGAACGAAAATTATCACGTGAGAACGTAATTAATCTTGATTTTTTTCTTCGGGTAATGCGCTCGTTGACCATATCAGGTGTATCAGCATCGTTCCGCAAGTCTAGAGCATGTCGAAGATTTGCCCACTTGGATTTCAGATATCGCCGTACTTGCCTCCTTTTTATAGATCCTTCCAACCCTAACCATCGACCAATAGCAATCCATAAACGATTATTTATATCAATAGGCTCTAGTTCGTTGGTTTCTCCACCGTTTTTAGAGCTTATTATCTCACTATCAATTAATGCTAAAAAATTCGGAGGAATTTCAAACGATTCGAGTGGGTTTATGGAGATCCGGGCTTCCCGAATAAGTGTTTCAACCAATAAATCTCGCGTAGTTATGTCTTGTAATGTCTTTATTTCTTTGGATGATATTCGATCAGAAGTACAAAGGGAAATGCTGGTCTATTCCTTCTCGATATAATGGACTTTATCTTTCGTACACAACCCACGAGTCGCAAATTGGGTTCGATGCTAATAAATAATAATAAACTTTCGAATTAGCACTTCGTACCTCTTTTATTATGTAAAAAGAACGGTTATATATTTTTGTGGAACGAACGAATTACTCAAGCTAAAGCACTAAGCCACTATCTCCGCTGGAGTATAGCGATCATGGCTACGGTGAGTTCCACAACTTGCCTGAGCAAACTTGTGACAAGTAACTCGGGTAACCTCTTATCATACGACACATAGTGCCACACAAAAACAACCGAACTCAATTTATCTACTAATGTGTCACGATAAAAAAAATATATATACCCTTGACGGGTCGAAGACTATATTAAGCGAGGCAGGAGGAATGGCGAGTGACGGTATGTCTTTTTCCGGTTTGTGAGATATCTTAGCCTGTTTCTTTTCCCACTTCAGCTGTTTCTTTTCCCACTTCAGCTGTTTCTTTTTGTTGTAGCGGAGACGTCGCGATAACTTCTTAGCTGATGGTTCCTCAGATATACCAGCTGGTACGAGTAAAGCTTCACTTTTTCGTTTACTTATAGACGCCATCATAACGTGGAACAAAAAAGTTGGCGGTATATTAATAGGTAGAGAAATCAAAAGCACAACTATTCGACGAGCCGTTAGAAATAAATTTCTAGAGCCGATGTCCTACTCAAGACGAATAGCATATACTTTCGCAAAAAAAAAGAAGCATGAGAAGTGGTATTAAGCAATCACTGATAATCGGTAAGGATTCGTATACCCAATCAAGACGAGGCAATCTCCTGTTAATTTCCGGTGTGATCCATCCAATCAGAATAATTAAAAAACTGTTAACTGAAGGAAAATTATTAACCAATTACATCACGTTATAATGGACCTCAGGAGAGCGATGTCGTGTGTAGGCTAGAAGAGCCATTGTTCTACAATAAAAAATCAAAGAAAATTGAGTGTCTACTGCCCATTCTTTATTATATGAAAAAATTACCAAACGGCATACAGATAAAAAGATATATATTTCAAAAAAAATGATTTAAGCAGTTGGTTTTTTACAATTGATCTAAGATTTCCTGGGCAACTTCAGGAGGATATATATCGTAATCATCATTATCTATACATTTTTGTGCATATTCTGGAGTAACAAAATGAAGGGGATTTTCTTTAAAAATTTTTTCTTCCGGATCATAGTCCAGATCATCTAAATTTATACAATAAATTGACATTTTTCAATTTTATTAAAAGTTACATTAACATTCTTAATTATCTTCAACTTTAGCAGGATTTTACTTACCAAAGCTGTCTCTTTTATTTCTGTGTTGACGATTGGGATTAGGTGTTCTTTGGCTAGATCTTGGATTAGATGATGTTTGAGTGGTGATTCTGGTGATATTGAAAGAAATATCCCTAGTTTGGAAGGTGTTATTGTTATTGCTCTTGGAGGCGGTACTATCATTACTCTTTGGGAGTATTGTTATCATTACTCTTGAGGGTGGTACTATCGTTAGTACTGCTCATTTTCACGGTCCTAAATACAAAGTTCGCAGTAAGTAAATACGTTTTTATAGTCTTAATTAATAGCGGTATAATAAATAGTAGTATAATACTTCGAATTAGCGGTAAAAAAACGTTATTGATACCCACCTTACAAAAGAAAAAAAAACGAAGTATTTTATACCATCCAGGACCATTGCCGGAGGCAGTCATATAGTGGCTAAATCTATCCCAAAGCTAAGTATATTTCATCATTATTTTTGGTAAAAGCGTGCCCCTTAAATTTGACAATCTCACTGAGTAAAAAAGATAATGATCGTGATGATCTGGGAAAATGTCAAGTCATTGCAACATATGATTTTCGATAAAAATACTAATGAGAAACGATAAGCCCATTCCCTATTATGGCTCTTTTAAATCTAATTCGTGTTTTCTTGCTGGGAGAACACTACGTTAAGCAATCAACAATGCTACCAAATCTGTTTAAAAAGTCAACTGAATGACCAAAAAGAATTAATAAACACTTGGTGTAAAAGCGACGTTAGTAATTTTTTAATAACAAAATTTAAATCATCTGGTTGATCTCTCCTTTTATAGAACACGTTATGCAAATAGCTAATAGATCCCACTAAGGGAGCTCAGTTTATGCAAATGGACAGATTACGTCATGCAAATAGACAGGTGCGACTGTACGTCAGTTTTACGCGTAACCAAATAACGATGTTTATACCTATCGCTATGTCTAACTGCAAATTGATTTGCTTTACTGTTCTCTTATTTCCTCTAGCATTCACCTTCGTATTCAGTGCTTTTCTTATTATAATTAGTGTAATTACTGTGCTCTCGCCTATTTTGATCCCGTTTGTTGAGTATGATTTTCAATGAATGAATAGAAAAAGTATTCTGTGAAAACCATTTATACTAATATACTAATATCGATTAACGTCGTCGTTAGACTTTTTATTTTATCTAAGGTAATGGATACCTTCCAAACAGCTCAAGACAATCCGTCTGAAACACTTCAAACCCTCCTCACGTATGAGAAAAGGCCTGGTCAAGCACAAAGATTTCTCGGTACAGTTCGTAATTTTCTTTATATACGTTAATATCATAGTGGTAATACAATATAGTAGTGTTTTGATGTTTGTTTCCTTAACCTATTTGTAGCTCGCGTGGGCAAGAACTTCAGGTGGCCCTCCTCAATGCCAGAATACCTCAGAAGAAGTGCCTTCGAGAACATCGCTGATGTTGATTTCGAATTCGATGATGAGGTCGGATTTAACCTCTTATTTTTCTACAACGCACTCGACAGTGGCGAATTTTCTGAACATGAAAACGAGTGGGTGACGGTATATAAACAGAGGGTAATAGAGTATGGACAAAAGTATGATGATGATAAATTGAACTGCATCCTCGAAACCATGCCCGGTGCTGTCCAAATCCCGGTTGATCAGAAACGTCTGCCACGTAATCCACCAGCAAAGATGGTAATTGTTCAGCGTGCTGAAAATGGCAACGACTACAAGATTTGAATACGTATTTGATCATAGGTTTTGGAAAATTTTATCTTATGAAATTTAGTACTTGTAATAAAAGATATATTCATGTAGTTTTTCAAGTTAATTTAGTGATTTTTTTAAATAAAGGTCAGCGTTCGTGTCAAAAGACCCCGGGAAGGTTTGATTGCTCTACTTGAGTACGATTTTTATGACATCCAAAATGACAAGAAGTATACGTGCGTGGTTGATACAGGTGCGCCACAAACAATCTTACCATTTTATATTAAGAGAACGCTTGGGAGAACAGGCTGGAGCACGCTTGATGCAAGAGCTGGGGGTTACGGGGCGCCTGCAAGACAATTCTGTGCATCTCGGATGTTTGAAATATCTATTGGTGATAATGATAATTGGTCAAAATGGGTTCAAGCCAAAATTGTAGTCTGGGAAAAAGATCCCGGCAATCAAGTGGAATATGCCCTTGTTGGTAACGATGTTACTGACCAACTAGCTTATGCACATGAACCGAGAAAATCAATCAAGTTTTTAGATCCTCAAGATGAACCCAATCTCATCCAGTTTTTGATGGGATGTGCTTGAATCCGAAAGATGTAAATTCGAGACCTGTAATGAAATCTGCTTTTTATTCATCATGCAATTTCTTATTTTTACTATACATAAAAAATGAAACTCCTATTAAAGGTATTACGGTAAGATTTGAGATGGATCCACTTCTTAATTTGATATGTTTTAATAGTAAAGAATGCTTTTTTAACGCGAAATCAATTACCCCGAAATGACAATGTTTGCGAAATAAATATTCAAAATTTTTTAAATAAAACATTTAAAATTATAATTTACTCAATAAGATCCAATTCTCGAAGATACTCTGGAATAACTATATATGGGTCTTCATAATACCAGACATATCTTAAAACAATCCAGTTTTCTTCGCAGAGTTCTTTTTTGATCTGATCACGCGTCAACTGCTTTTGAAATTCTTCCGGATCTTTGTGAAAATACTTTATATGTTGCTCATGCTGTTTACCTTGTACTTCTATAGCAAACCCGTACTGTGGATAGTAGATATTGAGTTCTAGTCCTCGAGGATGTTCAGGTATTCTCAAGAAATCTGGTCGACGGATGCTGGAAGGTGGACCAAGAATGTTAGTTATGACTTTGCGACATAGATTTTCGTGTTTATTTAAGCAATATGGGCACCAAGATTTAACATGCTTAATACTATTAAAATCAGCGAACCATTTATGACCTTTATTACACATCCATTGCATTGGGATACAGAGATTTATATATTCTGAAGAAAGACATATACCTCCCCTATTGTTAGCAATCTCCTTAGCTTCCATAAGACCACAAGGAATATTGCCAGAACATTGCGGACACCATCATCCCTTATTCCTTACACTAGCAAGAGGTGCAGTCCATTCATGTCCTTTGGCACATTTCCAATGCATTGGAGTATTTATATTGATGTATTCTGTAGAAAGGCATTCACCACCACGTTCTTGTGCAATACTAATCGCTATGTCAATATTAAGATATCGGCACTATTGACACCAAGTTCCTTTAATAATATCTTTAGCTGAAGCCTTCCATTTATGTCTTTTCATACATCACCACTCAAGAGGATCCTGTCTATTAATATATTCAGTTGCAAGGCAAAGACCTCCTTTTTTCTCTGCATACTTTTTCATATCTTCAATTGTTTGAGTACAACAATTTCCAATAGCATACTTTGGGCACCAGGTATTATGATTTTTTACACTATGAAGATTAGCAGACTATTCATGGTTTTTAATGTATTTCCAAAGCATCGGAGTATTATTATTAATGTATTGTTCAGAGAGACACATACCTCTTCTACTATGTACGATTTCTTTAGCAGTATCTACAGTTAATTTTGCCATTAACATTGTATACCAAATTTTTAAAAGGCTGGTAGATTTCCTCTCTTGAAATCCTGCTTCTCTATATTTTTACTTAGCCAACCTCTAACTCTCAATATATTTATTTTTAAAAAAAAATAAAGATATAATTATAGCACTACGTGCCTGATTTTTTAATTATTATATGCTAAGCAGTGTTGGAAATTTCGCAGTTAGAGAGTGTTCTCGTGAGAACAGTGATATTATTAATAGTGTTCTCAATTGTCAATTAGTGTTCTCATTAGAGAACACTTAGGGTTCGGATACTGTTCTCATAAGAATAATAAAAAACACAGTAAATATATCGGATAATATTTTTATTAATTTCCAGTATTCAAATCACTTCTATATTAAACTGTATTTATTAAACCAGCTAATTACTTCTATTTGCTAAATCGTAATTCTAATGCTTTTTAATAAAAAGAAGAGCTTCGCCAAAAATAATATGCTTGTTTATAATCAAATTCAGAATAAGGGGGACCATTCAAAGAAATCATAAGAATGTCATTCA